ACACTGCAGGGTCACGATGCCCGAATCGTCGGTGCCATGTATGCTGGCAGTTCACTGTATGGAACTGGGGGGTTGCGACCGCTGCAATCTCTGACTCACTCAAAAAATAAAGTCCACCGCGCCTCTCTCCCAAGGCCACGACTGATTCCGCTTTATCACGCACTTCAACACTGTTCTTCGTGAATAGCACACTGTAACCTTTGTCCGCCATTTTACTGACTGACAACAACCCACCGTCGAGGTTCGGCACATACAACACTTTGTCCAGATTGATCTCAACCGGCTCCCCGGTTCCGTCAATGCCTTTCACGGAACCACAGCCAACACCACCAGATTTCGAGCGATTTCCGTCCGCCATCACTACCGTAACACACGACTTTTCCAGCTTATTGAAAAATCCTTCACTGCTGGTCATGTGGCAAGATGCCCCACTATCGATTGCCCACAACCGATCCACTTTTGCCACGGCACAGATGGCTTCGTAAGCGGAGAAACACACACTGTTATCTTCGGGATTTTTCACTTGCTTAGCCTTCGCCGGACGTTGGCCGCTACCACCCGGTTTTCTGTAGGATGGGCCTCCACTACTGTTCTTTTCTTTCACACTTTGCCACTTACGACAGTCAGCTTTAAAATGTCCCGGCTTTTTGCAGAAGAAACACACTTTGTCTTTGTTTACATTCTGCGTTTTGAGCACTTGTTCGCCAGAAGAAAACTTTCCACTCCGTTCTTGCCGCTTGTGAAATTCGTCCATCAACTTTGATCGCACCAACTGCATCGTAACGTCCGCGTCAGGTCGTGCTTCGAGAGCGGATGCCAAGAAATGATAAGATTCTGGCATGCTCCGTAGCACCATGGCGATCTTCAGTTTCTCAGCCAACTCAAGTCCAGCATTTGTCAACCGCTCGAACAGTGCATCTAGTTCCAGCAAATGTTGTTCCACATTTCCGTTTTCACTTAACTTTGCATCGCACAGCCGATTTAGCAGCGATAGCTGCGACGATGCTGTCGACTTTTCATGGTATGCCTTCAAGGCAACCCATACCGCCTTCGCACTGTCACTGTCCTTAATTAACACATATTGACTTTCGTCAATGCACAATCCCAATGTGGCACGGGCTTTTCGGTCAGCTTTCGTCCAGGCTTCAGTAACTGGCTCCGGCTTGGCATCAGCCACGACATGCCAAAGATCCTCCCGGATCAAAAACATCTCCATCTGGAACTTCCAACTGGCATAGTTGGAGTTCCCAAGCTTGCTGATTGCAAACTTTCCCGGATCCGCCATTTTTCACTCAATCACGCCGGTAAATCACCACCAGGCAACAAACCGCACGACGACGACGCCAAAAAAAACAAACGACCGAACTTTCTTCCGCGAATTTTCTCCGTTAAATCGACCGAGTTCCTCGATTCCTCACTGGGCCCATAACCTGTTGGAAGGAAATGGCCACAACAGGCGAGAACAGCACAGGGAATCCGTTTACCGCGTGGGGAAAATGTGATATTTACTCGGACAATTATTCGCGACACAACCTTTCGATTGCAAACGTGTTATGTATTATCGGCAAAGAAAAAAAATTTCAAGAGAAATAACAAAAAAGGTGAGCATAGGGCGCTTTGTAATTTTAGTTCAGTGGATCAGCGCCCCTATGATAAAAATATAGATACGTTCAACAGCCTATTGGTCCCAAGCAAACGATTAACGTACCCTATTCTAGTTGAAATTCTATTACTACACTATGTTTGTTTTGATTCGCTATGAAAGTTTGACAGATAACATCAGGGGTGTGTGGATTCATGCAGAACATGCAGGGGTGAGTGAAATAGCTTGGGACTGCTTGGGACCGTTGTTCTGGTACTGAGTGAGCCAAAAATAATAATGATTTTCTTCGGGACCCAGTGGTCTTAGAGTTACCTCTATGCTCGTACTGCGCTTCAATGAGGTTGACGATCCTATCAGGGACTTTCTTGCGTCTCAGAGCGCAAGTTTTCGTGGTTTGGTCGGTCTAAAGCTTTTTCGTAGCCCATGAATACCAAGTACAGGGACTCTTGGAACTCATTGACCTGCTCCAAGATGATGCGGAGCGTGACAATATGGTCCACACAGGATCTTCCAGCACGGAATCCTGCCTGCTGCCATCGGAGAGTCGCGTCGATCTTCTCCTGTATCCGATTGAGGATAACTTTACACAGAACTTTGATTTTTTTTTTGCCGAGATGGGCACCACAGTAACATCACAGTCTGTGGTAACATGATGCCTCGCCAGTTGTCGCATACAGTTGGATCCCCCTTCTTGGGGACTTTTACCAAGACGCCCGGAAAAGTCGCGGTGTCCCAGATATTGACGAATAGTTGATGCAACATTTGTGAGGATAGCATGGGGTCAGCTTTGAGTATCTCTGCTGATATGCGATCGACCCCCGGGGCTTTGTTGGACTTCATACTTCAGATGGCTGCTTCTATCTCCTGCAATGATGGAGCTTCAGTGTTTACGCGAGTAACGCGCCTCACCCTTGGCGGATCATGCCGAGATTTTGATGGTTGGTTGAAACTTCAAGAAGTTGTTCAAAGTGCTCAAACCAATGTTTCAACTGGTCAGTGGGGTCGGTGAGCAACTGTCCAGTCGCGTCTTTCACAGGCATCCTTGTGTTCATCTTTGCCCCGCTCAGGCGTCGTGAAACATCATAGAGGAGGCGGATATCGCCAGTTGCTGCGGCTTTCTCCCCTTCATCAGCCAGGGAGTCCACCTACGCTCGCTTGTCTTGTATACAGGAACGCTTAACTTCCCTCTCTAGAGCCGAATACCGCTGACGGGCCTTGTTCTTGGCTCCTCGGGTCCTTGCTCGCTCTATCGCGGCTTTTGCTTCTCTCCGCTCCTCGATCTTCCTCCAGGTTTCATAGGTGATCCACTCCTTCCTCTGAGTGCGCAGCTCACCCAGGTTGTTCTCGCTTGTTACAATAAAGGCATTCTTGATGCTCGTCCACTGTTCTTCTACGCTGCCACCTTGCGAAATATTAGCTGCGCGAGTCTCTCCTCCCGCCGTTGAACCTGAGGAGGGCGACACATCTAAATCTCAATTTTAGATACTCAAAAAATCTCACACTAGCGAATAAATCTTCGAAAAATCTTCTTTCATTTCTCGCATCTACTTGCATTGCGCATCATATTTTTGCAGGAAATCTTCAAAATCGTGATAAATGATGGTCAGACGCGATGTCAGCGCTGCGTTTATTCCGAACATCAAGAAGGCTCCGTCTCCATTTTCGGCTGATGCAGATGTGGTCGATTTGGTTCTCTGTATATCCATCACGGGAGACCCATGTGACTTTATGCACTGGGCGATGGGGGAAGAGCGAACCCCCGATCACAATGTCGTTGTTGCCACAAAACTCTGCAAGCAGCTCGCCGTTCTCGCTCATATCTCCGAGACCATGGCGTCCCATGATGCGCTCATAGTCCGAGTTGTCGGAGCCGATCTTCGCATTGAAGTCGTCTGTGTAGATCTTGATGTCACCTCTTGAAGTTTTATGCACGACAGCAACCCTATAAGTTCTCCTTGTCCTGCAATTCGGCAGCATCGGTTGGCGCATAACATTGGATTATGGTAAGGTTTCGGACCCGTGTTCTGAATCTGGCAACGATTATTCTCTCATTGATAGGTCCCCACTTGATGAGCGCAGCCTGTGCTTGGGCGCTAAGCAGAAAGCCAACTCCACGATGTCGCGGAGCGTTTTCACCTCGCATACCAGAATATAAAAGTACCTGTCCCGAAGACAGCTTGTGTTCTCCAAAGTTCGGCCAGCGGACTTCACTAAGTCCCAGGATTTCTAGCTTCATACGGCGGGCCTCACTGGCGAGTTGTGCCAGCTTACCCTGTTGGGCTAGCGTCAGTACATTCCATGTTCCAATTCTTGTCCGTTGTTTAGCGCTAAAAGTCGTTGCCATAAAATCGGTTCGTAATCTTTCACTAAAGGTTTCTGTAACAATTTGACATGAATTACCATAGCAAAAATAATAAAAATTTCTGACCAAAGCACACTAGTGACATCTGGCTCCGGGTTCGCGGGAAATATTAAGCTAAGCCATGAACCTGCATGCAAAAGTTATGAATTGGTTCTGATCTATTCTGAACAATTTTATGGTTTTGACAGTTTGGATCACTGCACATTTAAATCGGTCGTCTACGATTTTCGGGTATAAGTCAGAATTAAGTGTCATCTCGGTTTGTCGGTGGATATACCTTGGACCCCCGGTAATCTGACCGTTTTTAATCTGAACTCTTTTTAGTTTGAACCCCGCTCATCTGCACGCCAGCAAACTAAAATTTGCTCAAACGTCATTAAGCACATGGAATGGAGCAAAGCGAAATGGATCGATGCGCAACGGAAAGCATAAACAACAACAAAACTGCAACAGAAACTCGTTGTTCTGCTGGTTGTAGGGTTACTAGAAGTTCAAATTAGAACCCCGGTAATAATAATTAATGCTGGTAAGTAACTGGAGCACCTGGGTTAAAATGAAATGTAATTTTATTAGAATTTGGAACAAATAGAGCTAGGTGGCACCCTGTAGTAAATACTAGAAACTGACACCGCGTGTTCTCAAAATGGCACACTTTTCATGGAGGCGCATGGTGGTTCATTAGATGGCCCGAAGCTCGTCGAGGCAAGCTTCAAATAATTTCGATTTAGTACTTTGGTTATTTGTCGAAAGACAAGCTCACTTGTTACAAATCCCATCGTTAATATGCCCGACGATATGGCGATATGACTCCCGATTGTGCGCTTTTTTTTTCTCCCTCTAAAACGCCGATAATAAAACACTGATAACAATGAGCGTATGGATTGATGATACCGTTTGCCTATCTGCTTCGACGTGGCACATGATGTGCTTCTCCCTTTTTCATTACTCATGTAACCGCTATCTCAGAACAAACACAAGTTGCTTTCTTAAAATATACCTATATTCTTTAAAAAAAATACTTTATTGCATCCTTATTGAGCACAAATATGTACAGTCTCATCAGTTTTGATTTCCCCCTTAAGTACTATCCCCTGTCTTCAGCAATCATCTTACAATAAGGCACTTGATTCGACTCGACCCACCCCGTCCTCCGTCCTACCGTCTCCGCCTTTTCGTGTCCATATGGGCCAACAGTTGATTCACGTTCAGAAACACCTCATCCAGCTGGGAACACTTGGTATGCCAGCACCGCACCGGCTCGGGAAACGACATCCCCGGATGTTGGGATCGCAAGTGCCGCAGCAGATGAACGACGACCATTTTGCCACAGATGAAGCACTTCATCCGGTTTTGCGAGTGGGTCTTCACGTGCGACTCCAGCTTCGTCAACGACGAATAACGGTGTCGGCAGTACTCGCACTCGTAGGGGTACACCTTCTCGTAGTGGCCCTGCTCCATGAGCAGAGCATTTCCGCTGTCGTTGTCTTCCTCCGCATCCAGCAGAATCGAACTCAGTATGGCATTGTTGTCCATCTCTTCCTCGGGTTCGTAGGACTGATCCACTTCTTGGCCTTCCACCAATTCGAAGTCATCGAAGTTGAACCCTTCGGTATCGGTAGGTTCGCTTTCGTAGTTTTGTAGGTCAGTGGAATTTTGCTCGTAATGGACACCTTCGTCTTCGTCATCGTCCTCGATGATAACTTGCTCAATCCTCATCTTTTTCGAAAGCGGTTCCTGTTTCTGTTGCTGGAGGGCCTTCTGTTTTTCACTGTCCTCCTCCTCCTCTTCGTCGTCGTCGTCATCCAGGCAGACCACTTCCGTCGGTTGCTGACTACAGGACAGCTGTCTTTTGCGCAGCTCCGCTTGCTTCTCCCGGTAGTAATCGTTGTTCACGATGCATTGGATTTTGAACGCTGAAAGTTCGTTTAATTTCCGCTCGCACTCGGTGCAAATCGACGACGGGTAGTCGTCCTGCGCTGTGAGCTACAAACAGGTTCAAATTTAAGCAGGAACATTGCAAAATCGAATCCTATTCACACATACCCGAATGGAAGTGCACTCGATCACCTTCTGGAGCAGGAGCACATTCGCTTTCATGGTGAGCTTGTCAAAGAGCGGAGTCCGGCCGGAATTCGGAGTCAGGCAGAGACGGCAGAGCGGGTTTTCCATGTTTCAACAAGTGTCTGGCAACGGCACTAAAACACGGTCACATTTAAACTTAGCACGAAGCAACAATAGCTGTTTAAAAATCTGTATTGGAATGTTTGAGTAAATGCCATTCGAACAACAAAAATTGACGCCACTTTGCGGAGCTAGCGATGATGCGACGTGTGTACAAACAAAAACTGGTTTGACAGCTTCCCGATGACTGATACGGCCGGGTTCGTTTCATTTCGAGTGGTACATGGTATGCACGGAAAATAATCAAACGGTAAAGGGACTAGGGATGCCACATGGTTTTAGAAAAAAATCTCAACAACCCTAATAAAAATAACCATAAAAGAGAGTTTAACGACGTGTTCGGGGTATCATCCAAACCATTTGTGGGATAGTTTTCCCATCCGGGATAAAGTTCGTTTATAGTATTTGTTTATCGGGTAAGATAAATCAAGCTGCTAGGATAGAAATCCCCTTTTACCTTTTGGCAAATTTCTGTTGCTGATTATTCATCAAATGTATAAGCAAAGAAGAATACTAAGATGAAACAGTCGGAAAATAAACTTTCTATTTTATTGTCCTCTTTCACGGTCCCTTTCATCCAATGAATAGCCCCCGTATGCAAGGTAATTTTCTGGTTTTACTACCCCCTCGCGCTCTTTTTTGACATGGGACTACCGAGGGGACTACGTCTTTGATTTCTATATGGGGGTCGAGGGGGTACACTTTATGAAAACCGAAAATGGAACATGTCACAAATTAAGAAAGATTTTGAACGTTAATAACTCAGCTGCCCTGGTCCAATATCAATAATTTTGTCACCAATCGATCAGATTTATGGCTACGCATCGATAACAATGCCTCCAAATGTTGATTTTCAACAAGAAACTATTGAAAAACTGGCAAATGTCCAGCATTGTCCAAAAGCGTCGAATTAACTAACAAATCTACCAATTACCTACATGCACACAAAGAAAAATCGTTCATAAAATTAAAAAAAGCATCGGTGGAATTGAAAGTTTGCGTTGGTTCTTTTTGGTAGAAAGCGGTTAGCTTTTAAATTGAAAGTTAGCCAATTGTGAGCTCAAAAGTTGCCCGCTCAAGGCTTTTAAAAGTAGAAACTTTCAAAACAAATTGTTCTACTGTCAAATGAAAAGCACGGCATGGTTGAAATTAAAACTGGATTATTTTTAATTCAAAACATACTTTTGACATTATAGTACAGTATATTTAAAATGACAACTGTTATTTTTAATTCAAAATAAAATATTTTTAACTTAAAAGCAAGTATTTTCAATATAATAACATCCTTTTTCATTTTAAATTCTTATTAAATCAACTTCAAAATATGTATTATCACGTTATCACGAACGTGATCATCTCAGAGAGAAAGCAGTAGGTCATGACGAGAGGAGCAACACAATAGTTGGGTAAAGAAGAACTGCATTATAACACACCATCGACTGGAAATGCTCTCGCAACGTGGGGCTTTGGGTAGTGATGAAAACGTCGCTAGAACTATTCCACAGCCGCAGTCAGTTTATGAGCAACAAGAGGGACGCACATTTTTGCCTGTGGACTTGGAGACATACTTCAAGTCCCCGCGTACATCGTACGGGTTAGGCAAAAATGTGCGTCTATCTTGAAAAACTGTCGCATTAATGGCCCTTCGCTCATTTTCAACTTCTATTCAATTTTCATACTGCCGTACTCTAACGGAACTATCCACCTACCCTCTTCTAAAGATCATTCTCTAGCTAATAAATCATCACACTAAAAGCTTCATGTTAGCATTTCCAACCAATTCTTTACTGATACAGTTTTTGTTTTTTGTGTGTAGCAATATTTTGAGAAAGATCTTTATAAACGATTCACGATTAGACTTTTAGCATCTTTACAATTATTCATGAAATGGTGACGATCGCTATCGATTTTTCTTATGAAAAGCTTTGAAGATCGATGTATAGAAAATTAAAGAAAATTGACGAAATGGTTGGTCGTATTAGAACAGCGGTTCCCAATCTTTTCAGATCCGCGACCCCCTTTGCGAACAATTGAGAGTCCTGCGTGTGGGAGAGTACAAAAACTGCATAGGGAAATCCTTGTAGATTTCGGAATACTGGAGAAAGTAATCGAACACAACACATATACGTTGTAAAGAGAAAATAGCTTTTAATGATTTTCGTTTGGATGTACAAAGCTAACTGATGCACTCGTGTAACCTTCGTGCGAGCCTTCGTGCCTCTTCTGCAGCACAACCGTTCGGTGGTCAACCCAGTGTAAAAACGATGTAACTTACCAGTGGATGATGAGGGGCGAGACATTGCTATTTACCATCACTCCTCCTCAATGCTTGGTCCTCGGATCATCCCCGACTAGTCCAAGTTGTTCTGCAAAGTTGTGATGTTTGACTCCACCCAGTGGCTTTGTGAGGATATCCGCCTTCATGTCATCTGTCGGGCAATACTGCAATGTCACCTCTCCGCGATCACAAAGGTCCTTCACGAAATGTCGCTTCGTCTCAATATGCTTAGATCGCTTACTAGAACGTTCCAACCGTGCAAAATTGAGGCATCCCTGATTGTCTTCGTTTACCACAGTCGTATTGCTCTGCTCCTCTCCAAGATCGTTAAGAAGTCGTCGCAACCAGACCACCTCTCACGTTTCCGTTAAGGTGACGTATTCCGCCTCCAGCGTCGATAGTGTTACACAGTCCTGTCTGCGACTTGTCCACGAGAGTGCTCCTCCTGAATAGAATACCACGTAGCCAGTGGTAGACTTTCTAGTTCCCGTGTCACCTGCCCAATCACTATCCGAGAAAGCTATAAGTCCACTTTCTTCACCACCAAGATTCAGCCTCCAGTCACGCGTTCCTTTAAGGTAGCGAATGACGCGCTTGGCAGCCGTCCAATCGCTTTCTGAAGGTGCACTAAACTTACGACCGAGTATCGCTGCACTTGTCATAATGTCAGGGCGTGTGCATACAGCTATATATATTAATACACCCACCACACTTCTGAACTTTGTTATGTCTTCCAGTGGCTTACTGTCAGCTTCATAACGGAGAAAACCTTTGTCCATCGGTGTTTTGGACACCTTCGCATCACTGAGACCTACCCTAGCTATCAATTGGTCAATATAGTTTGCTAGGCACACACGAGATCGTCGACGTAAACAATCAAATAAACTTTCTTCTCGGTCACAGTTGCTACAAACAGACACGAATCAGCAGCACTAGCTTCGAACCCAATCTTCTTCAGTACCTCGGTTAACTTATCGTTCCAACAACGGGCCGATTGCTTCAGCCCGTAGATGCTCCTGCGCAGCCGGCAAACAAGCTCCTCCTCGTCATGAGCCACGTAACCCGGAGGCTGCTTCATATACAATTCTTCGTTGATGTCTCCATATAAGTAGGCCGTACGGACGTCGAGATGCTTCAGCACGAGATTACTCTTCCCCGCTAGCGTCAACAGAGCTCTAAGTGTGGCGTGTTTGGTCACCGGAGCGAACACTTCTTCAAAATCGACGCCATACGTTTGCGTGAATCCCTGTGCCACGACTCGCGCTTTGTAACGCACGATCTCGTTGAGCTCATTCCGCTTGATTTTATAAACCCATCGGCAACCAACAAGCTTCTTACCTTTGGGAAGCGGAACTAGTTCCCAAGTGCCGTTCTTCTTGTGAGACTCCAATTCACTATCCATTGCAGCAACCCATGCATCCCGTTCCGGACGAGCCATCGCCTCTTCAAACGTTAACGGTTCCACTACCGAGTGTGCTACTATACCGACGACATAGTCAGACAAATGGTTGGGTAGTACACCACGCGTTCGACAGCTAGAGTGACGAACGGCTTCTTCTTGGTTTAATGACTCATCCTCTTCCTGGTGCACCTCCTCCTGCTTTACAGCCAGCGGGTCCACTCCCGGATCCGGATCATCGAAGTCAAAGTAATCTTCACATTCACTCTCTTCGTATTCTTGTCCGCTCCTTTGTCAGTCATCTATCGAATATTTCCAATACTAACCTTTCGCCAGTTTTTGATTTTTGCCACGAATCTTCAAGGTCTTGGAAGTGAACAAGATTGCAAACAAACCCTATAGCTTCAAATTTAGCGAGTTTAGAAAATATCACGTAGGTAAGCGAGACGCTTCTGCCAGCCTTTCTTATCAAAATTAGCAAGGAAATCGTTCATCACTTGAACTTTAAAGAACATTTGGATTTTGCCCTTCAGTTCGAAAACACGGTTGAGTACATTGCCTTTCGACAACCAGCTCACGGAAGTGTAGAAAAGAAGAACCTCATGTTCTGAGTTCATTTCTTTGTAGAGTTATTATAGTAAACGGGTGTTCAGAGCTCCAGATTTAATATAGTCAACCATTTTTATGACTGAATCCAGTACTTTCAACAACTGTTCCGGCAGATTCTTGCTGGCAAGGGCATATAGATGAATCATGCAATGAACAGCAGTGTGGAGCACTCGGTGGAGCAAGCTCTTAAACCTTTTTTTTTCTGAAAATCTGCTGAAATTGTGTTACAAATTTAATGTTTGAGTTACGCTCAACCTAGATATAAAAAAAAAAATGAAAAAAATAAATGTATTTGAAGAGTTCAAAATTTGATCTCCTCAATACACTTTGCACGCACTACGGAGGCACTAGCAAAACTAAATTGTTTTTTTTTATTCTTTTGTGAAAATTGCATTATTTCGCGGACGGATGACGAATGTTACGATTTGTTAAAAAATATATTTTTAGCATTACGTAATATTCGAACGGGCCCTTACACCAGGTAGTTCTTATATACCGAGGGGGACGACTCTATCTACGATGCAGAAAAGATTATGTTTTGCTGTGGCTAGCTGCACGCACGCTGAGTAGATAGAAGGAAGATTTATGTCGATTTTGAAGATTTCCTGCAAAAAGATGAAGCACGATGCAAGTAGATGCGAGAAATGAAAGATGCTTTTTCAAAGCTTGATTCGCTAGTGTGAGAGTTTTTGAGCATCTAGAATTGAGATTTAGATGTGTCGTCCCCTCGGTTATATACATAGCCTTCTCCATTTCCAAGCGTTGACAGACGAGTGGACAAGACACGGGCCTGGTAATCTCAACGTTCATGGTTCGATCCCTATTTGGCAAATCAATTGAATTCATACCGATTTCTTGTGGCTATAGAGCATAAAGCAAACTTATGAAAATCGATAGTTTATTTCTCTGACTGAATATTTAATAAATATTCAACAACTTTTTTTTCTCTCTGTTGGCCTAAGCTTTATTTCGACCGTTGCCACCGAATCCATCATAAGCTCATAAACTGTCAAAACCTAAACCGTTTCGCGCCTTCTTCTTTTCGATTGTGTTGTTTGCTTTTCATGCGCGACGAACCATCATCAACATCATCGGCAATCAACCCATCGGCAGTCCCATCGGAAAACGTCAAACGAAAATCCCGAGGTGAGCAGCGGAGAAAAATATCTTTCGCCACAAAATTTTCGACTTTTTCTCGCTTTCGGTGCAATTTTCTCGTTTCGGTACGTATTTAATGTGATTTCCCACGGCGGCTTGCTATTGTGCGGATGGAAAACGGTTCGCCCAGACGCGTTGAAATAGTCGAAATGTGGAATAAACTTTCTAGGGAAATTATGTAATTTGTGGCGATTTTCAACACGTTTGACAGTCGACTGGTTGGCTGCTGCGGAAATTCTGCTCCTCTGCCGATTCGATCGATAACAGACAGAATTATTTGTTTTGTTTTTGCAGAACCAAATTGAACACAACTAGGCAAGATGCTTCGTGCGCCGTTGACCAGGGCACTAGCGCTTGGAGCGCGCTGCCCAACAACGCAAATCGTCATCCGTACGTCGACGACGACTCCGGCCAAGGCCCCGGAAAAGATTGAGGTGTTCGTGGATGACTTACCGGTGATGGTCGACCCGGGAACCACGGTGCTGCAGGTGAGGATGTTTGGGTCGGGGGTTTCAATTTCGCCATTAAATGCAATTTAAATGTTTTTTTTTTTTAGGCTGCTGCTATGGTAGGCGTCGAGATTCCTCGCTTCTGCTACCATGAGCGACTGGCCGTGGCCGGAAACTGTCGTATGTGCTTGGTGGAGGTGGAAAAGTCTCCGAAGCCTGTAGCCGCATGCGCCATGCCAGTCATGAAGGGATGGCGAATCAAGACCAACTCCGAAATGACCCGCAAGGCTCGCGAAGGTGTGATGGAGTTTTTGCTGATGAATCACCCGCTGGATTGTCCAATTTGCGATCAGGGCGGCGAATGCGATCTGCAGGACCAGGCTATGGCTTTCGGATCGGATCGTTCGCGGTTTACCGATATCGATCACAGTGGAAAGCGTGCCGTCGAAGACAAGGACATTGGCCCATTGGTTAAGACCATCATGACCCGATGCATCCACTGCACGAGATGCATCCGATTCGCTTCGGAAGTTGCCGGAGTCGATGATTTGGGTACGACTGGCCGAGGAAATGATATGCAGATTGGAACGTACGTCGAGAAGTTCTTCCTGTCGGAGTTGTCTGGAAATGTGATCGATCTTTGCCCGGTTGGTGCTCTGACTAACAAGCCGTACAGCTTCGTAGCTCGTCCGTGGGAGATTCGCAAGGTGGAATCGATTGATGTGCTGGATGCTGTGGGCAGCAATATCATTGTGAGCACCCGTACCGGAGAAGTTCTCCGTATTCTGCCTCGTGAGAACGAGGATATCAACGAAGAATGGCTATCGGACAAGTCCCGTTTCGCTTGTGATGGATTGAAGCGCCAGCGTTTGGTTGCTCCCATGCTACGCAATCCAAGTGGTGAATTGGAAGCAGTCGAATGGGAGTCGGCCCTGATTACCGTCGCCCAAGCTTTGCGGGGTGCCCCCAAGGGCAAGGTGGCAGCTGTTGTCGGAGGATTGACCGATGCCGAAGCGTTGGTTGCCCTTAAGGATCTGCTGAACCGTTTAGGATCGGAAACTTTGTGCACTGAGCAGAAGTTCCCCACTGATGGTTCGGGAACTGACTTCCGATCCAGCTATTTGCTGAATTCACCGATCGCTGCCTGCGAGGAAGCCGATCTGGTGCTGCTGGTCGGAACCAACCCAAGATACGAAGCCCCTCTGTTGAACACCCGTCTGCGCAAGGGCTACGTCCACAATGAGCAGAACATTGCATTGATCGGACCGAAGGTCAATCTGTCGTATGATTATGAGGTGGGTATTTGTCAATGGGATTCTGAAGATCAAAAATTAATGAAGTAATGTTCCCCAATTTCAGCACCTTGGAAACGATCCCTCGCTGGTTCGGGACATTGCCAGTGGCAACCATCCGTTTGCGAAGAAACTGAAGGCCGCCAAAAAGCCACTGATCATCGTCGGTGCTAACCAGCTGGCCCGTAAGGACGGATCAGCCTTCGTGACCGCCCTGCACGTCTTTGCCAACTCGCTCCAGCCTGCTGATGTAAGCTAAGTCCATTCTTGTACACGGTGAGCTCATTTCTCACATTTCTTCATCTCCTAACAGCCCAACTGGAAGGTCTGGAACGTCCTGCAGACAAACGCTGCTCAGACGGCCGCTCTGGACGTTGGCTACAGCGCCGGTGTAGAATCCGCTTTGGCTTCCGAACCCAAGGTCCTATTCTTGCTCGGAGCCGACGCCGGTGCCATCAAGAAGGAACAGCTCCCCAAGGATTGCTTTGTCATCTACCAGGGTCACCACGGTGATGCCGGAGCGCAGTTGGCCCATGCCATCCTGCCAGGAGCTGCCTACACCGAGAAGCAAGGCACCTACGTCAACACGGAAGGCCGCGCTCAGCAAACCCTCGTTGCAGTGACTCCCCCAGGATTGGCCCGCGAAGACTGGAAGATTCTGCGTGCCCTGTCGGAAATCGCTGGAGCTCCTTTGCCATACGACACCCTGGATGAGCTTCGGTCCCGGTTGGAGGACATCGCACCGCACCTGGTACGCTACGGACACCTCGAGAAGGCCAACTTCTTCAAAACCGCCGAGGAATTGCTGAAGAACGCGGCCGTGCACTTCGACGGCAGCAAGGTGGACGTCAGCCAGAAGAAACTGGAGGACTTCTTCATGACCGATCCGATCACGAGGGCATCGCCTACGATGGCCAAGTGCGTCACGGCGGCCAAGAAGCAGAGCGCAAAGGCGGCAAATTAAATGAGTGAAAGTTTTGGTTAGAAAATTCTCTTTCCGTTAATGTTGCACTACTATTTGATATCTGAAAGAACGAGTAAAGTCTTGTTAAAGAAGGGTGCGATTTTTGTATCGATGAAATTAATTGTCGAAAGGCGCTGGACTGATGAGAACGCTATAGAAATGAAAGTAAAATTGTAAATTTTAATCAACACACGAGTTACGATAATGTGTAAACTGTGCTAGCTTCAGATTACATAAGTTAATAAAGATCAAATAACACTTAGATGGCGGCTTTGCATGTTCCGGTGCACTGGAACTATTTTAAGTAAGTGTGATTACACCTCACACAAGGTGAAAATTATTCTAGATAGAGCTGGAATTAGGGCGTAACAGCTTTTGTAAACAATTGGACGATTTCTAGAAAGTCAAGGCTCGCTTAGGCAAATCAATATCACCATTGGATAGGGGAAGCTTCCCCTTCATAGAATTGTATGGAACAAGTTTGGATTGCCATTAAGCTCGCTGACCGCACTTTGTTTTTGTGTGTAGTTTACTTTCCTCCGGATCGAACTCGCGACTCTACGCTAATTGAATCCCAAAGTCAGTCTATTCGAGCTATAATGGAGATAGCTACAGCTGCTGACGAGATGATAATCATTGGCTACTTCAATCTACCGGCAATTTCTTGGCGATCATCTTACGGTAGATTCCTGTATCCGGACCACGACCGTTCTACATTTCACTCTGGAGCTGTAAGCCTTTTGGATCATTACAGCATCGCCACTCTGAAGCAAATCAACCACGTGGTTAATGAGAACAATCGTAGCTTAAACCTTTGCTTCGTCACCGCTCAGGATACTGCTCGGCATTTGTCTATGGCTGTTCGTTGATAAAGACTGTTCCACACCATCCTCCTTTAGTTATTGCACTTGAAGGCAACCAAATTCCTGAGAACATTCCACCCCCCCTTGCGGTCTCCTACAATTTCCAAAATGCTGACCACGACAGTATCAGGGAACTTCTTTCGAATTTGGACTGGGACAGGATACTCGTCCCTGCCGATGTCAATGCAGCGGCTCAAACGCTCTCGCATATTTTGGCTTACGTCATTGAGCGACACGTTCCGAAAAAAGTTCCTAAACAAGGTAATCATCATCCTTGGCAAACAAGTGAACTCCGTATGTTAAAGTCTTCCAAAAGAACCGTGCTAAGAAAATACACCAAGTACCACACCCTACAACTCAAAGACCATTATGTGAGGATCAATCATGCGTATCAAAGAGCCAGTCGCCAATGTTATCGACGTTATCAACGGGATGTTCAACGGAATCTTCGATATCACCCGAAAACTTTTTGGAATTATGTGAATGAGCAACGAAAGGAGTCTGGCCTTCCATCGACTATGGTACTGAACGGCGAAGAAGCTTCATCCCCTCAGGACATTTGCCGTCTATTCTCAACCAAGTTTGCGAGTGTATTCTCGGATGAGAACCAACCTGCCTTCTGTTCGAAATGTCCCTCTCCAGTGGGGTGCTTCCTTCCTGCTGGAAATCTGCTGAGATGTTTCCAGTGCATAAGAAGGGATACAAAAGAAACATCGACAACTATCGCGGCATTACATCGTTGTGTGCCATATCTAAACTGTTCGAGTTAGTCGTTATGGAACCATTAGTCTCTCTCTCTCTCTTCAAGCAGCACTTGAGCGAAGACCAGCATGTTTTCATGGCAGGGCGGTCGACTACTTCCAACCTTCTGTGTCTCCCCTCGTACATTACGGAGAGTATGACAGACCATATGCAAACAGATGTCATCTACACTGACCTATCAGCCGCCTTCGACAAGTTGAACCATCCTATAGCGATCGCCAAACTGTACGCATCCTATCTATCTGATCGTCAGTTGGAAGTTGCAATCGACGACTGCCGATCTCCTCGCAAGGTAGCCACCTCGGCCCGTTGATATTTCTTGTGTATTTCAACGACGTCAATTTCGTCCTCGACGGTCCACGACTGTCGTTCGCAGACGACATGAAAATCTATCTCCAAATCGGAGCCATCGCTGACTGCCACCTTCTCCAACTCCAACTCAAAGCTTTAGCTAATTGGTGCCAACTGAACCGCATGGTTGTAAATCCAACAAAATGTTCAATGTAATCACGTTCTCACGGAAGAAACATCCAATTACATTCAGTTATATCCTAGAAGGCGTTGACTTACATCGTGTGAATCACATTATGGACCTGGGAGTCATCTTATACCCCGGACAGACTATGGCTTATATCATGTAATATAGGCTGTCTTGCAATGAGCACTCATACATAGGATTTCCAGTGCAAACTAGATGCATGAGTGTTCATTGCAAGACAGCCTATATTACATGATATAAGACATAGTCTGTCCAGGGTATTAGATTGTCAACTCACATACAGCCAGCATATCTCGTAAATGATCGACAAGGCATCCAGAACGCTCGGCTTCATTTTCAGGATAGCTAAAAGTTTCACGGACATCTACTGTTTGAAGTCGCTTTACTGCTCCCTCGTCCGGTCGATGGTAGAATACTGCTACCCTGTACACAGCAAAAAAAGTTGTTGGATATTAGTAGGTCAGTCCATCGGATGTACATCGATTTTGCGAACAAAATTACATCCATTGATGTAATATTGTATCTGCTTTTTGCTATTACATCATTATTTCATATACATCAGCTTTAATTACGTTGATCGATATTACATTTTTTTGCTGTGTATGGAATCCCAATTACCAAAACAGTGTACAAAGAGTAGAGTATATTCAACGACGATTCATCTGGTTTGCCCTTCCACGATTGCCTTGGAGGGATCCTCATCGCCTTCCAAGCTACGAAAGTCGGTACCAGTTAATTCACCTGGATCCTTTGTGGAGTCGAAGAGATACGACAAGGGCCCTGTTTGTGGCAGACATTCTACAGGGCAGAATCGATTGTCCTTCTATTCTACAAAAAATCGACGTTAAAGTTCAACCACGAGCACTCCGTAACAACGTAATGCTGAGGATACCTTTTCGTCGTACAAACTATAGTTCGTATGGTGCTATCAATGGGCTACAAAGGGTTTTCAATCGTGGTGCTTCCTTATTTGATTTTCACTTGGCACGCGAGACGCTGTGTCAGAGATTCCGTGATATATTTTGTTTTAAGAATTAGGAATTAAGTTGGACTTCACGGCCTTTGCAGCTTTTTACTTCCTGACTATATTGTATTTCCTACTGTGTTACCTGTCTTATAACGAATATACGTTGTATACGAGTACCCCGTATACAACGTATGACTCGTCTAATTTTGCATTGCATTTACAATGTAAAATTAGACGAACTATACGTTGTATTCGGGGTACTCGTATACAACGTATATTCGTTATAAGTCAGGTAGCACAGTAGTATCAACAATCAATACGAAACTAACGATTTTAAATTGGCTCACCACTTTAGTAGCCTATTGGTCCCAAGCAAACGATTAACGTACCCTATTCTAGTTGAAATTCTATTACTACACTATGTTTGTTTTGATTCGCTATGAAAGTTTGACAGATAACATCAGGGGTGTGTGGATTCATGCAGAACATGCAGGGGTGAGTGAAATAGCTTGGGACTGCTTGGGACCGTTGTTCTGGTACTGAGTGAGCCAAAAATAATAATGATTTTCTTCGGGACCCAGTGGTCTTAGAGTTACCTCTATGGTAGTATCACAAACGAAGTGACAGACGGAGCGGCTCGAAAACTTTGGTGACTAACCTGCTATTGCAATTTTTCAGTGTACCACATGGCAACACCACTACTACTGGATTGTACCAAATGGCAACACTTCTACTAGATTGAACTATCATTTTCACCAAATGTACTAGAATGTTTTGGTTCTATCTCTTTCACTCTACTCAAAACTGAAATGCATAAAAAAATGACAAAATGATACGCACTCTTTGCACACTGTCAAAGAATCATTGTACACAAAATCAACTTTGTTCAAATCAAAACAAAAAAACTAACCCATCTGGTGGATGATGGCACAAGCTTCCAAGAAAATTCTATTACAGTGAACCACATTATTTAAATGGATTTCTTCGCCAGTTAGTCGTCTGTCACTTCGTTTGTGGTAGTATCATAGAGGTAACTCTAAGACTAGTAGGTCCCGAAGAAACGTGCTCAACTTTTTGGCTCAGCTCTGGTACTATCTTCGGTCCCAAGCTAATCGATTCACCCCTCGAAACATAGGAAAATCCACTAACCCTTCATTTTATCTGTCAATTTTTCATAGGGAATCAAAACAAACATTGTGTAGTACTAGAATTTCGACTAGAATGGGGTACGTTCATCGTTTGCTTGGGACCAATAGGCTAGTCAAGTAGTGAGCCAATTTAAAATCGTTTGTTTCGTATTGATTGTTGGTACAGGTGTGGGAGCAGCCTTCCTGGCGTCGGTAGCATTGGTGCTCAGTACGGAAAACAAGATCGACGGAAAACAAATCAAGAAAAAAAAAACCCATAAAATGCCTAAAATTTTACACATTTAAGAGTAATTGCTAGTACAAAAATTAATAAAATTTATGCATTTATGAATAATAGATACTCATAAAAGGTGTAAAAAATACACAAATTTTAGGTGTAGTCACCTTTTAGCCGAATATGCCTCAGAACATCCCGGCGGCACCGACTGGGATTGAACCCAGGCCAGCTGGAGTGAGAGGTAATCACGTTTTCCGAAAGTGGTATTCACGTACAAAGAACCTTACAAAGTTTGTTTACAAAAGCTTTTGTGCCGTTAGCAAATGCTACGCCTGAAATGTCATTCAAACCATTTGTTTACATCATAATGAAGATTTTCAAAACTCAAAGTAATGCGAACATATTGCAAATTTCCATCGGGAGTGGTCTAATTTTACGATTTGCTACAGATGTTAGCTGATTTTCTCCGAGATTTACTCAAATAAGGGAAGGTCCATTAATTCTGTCACGCAAATTTGGCCCATTTTTAAACCCCCTCCCCCTTTTGTTACATTTTTTGTTTGGACCTTAATTTGTTTTGTATGGCTCGTCACAGTTTCCAAACCCCCTCCCCTCTCCCCCCTCAAAGTGTGACATAATTAATGGACGATCCCTAAGCACACATTTAAAATCAGGAAAATCATAACCACTGGGACAGTTTTATAAGTCTTAATCTGTCTCATCAAAAATATGTGGAAGCACCAGCCGATCCGGCTTGATCCATTGAAAAATCGATACAGAAAACAAAATATTCCACGTTGATGACGATTTCATGCACCTGCGATGGATACATTAATCAGGAAAGGTGAAAATATTTTCTTCTTCCTTTGCTTCAACACGACGAATGAGAACTACCCAAAATTGAGTTTAGTTCTCTCATAATCGCCAAAAGTGTAGGAACTCAGCAATTTGCCTCATACTTTCATTGAGGTAACTCTAAGACCAGAAGGTCCCGAAGAAACGAGCTCAACTTTTTGGCTCAGCTCTGGTACTATCTTCGGTCCCAAGCTAATCGATTCACCCCTCGAAACATAGGAAAATCCACTAACCCCTCATTTTATCTGTCAAACTTTCATAGCGAATCAAAACAAACATAGTGTAGTACTGGAATTTATACTAGAATGGGGTACGTTAGTTGATTTGCTTGGGACCAATAGGCTAGTCAAGTGGTGAGCCAATTTAAAATCGTTAGTTTCGTATTGATTGTTGGTAGTATCAACAATCAATACGAAACTAACGATTTTAAATTGGCTCACCACTTTAGTAGCCTATTGGTCCCAAGCAAACGATTAACGTACCCTATTCTAGTCAAAATTCTAGTACTACGCAATGTTTGTTTTGATTCGCTATGAAAGTTTGACAGATAAAATGAGGGGTTATTGGTTTTACCCATGTTTCGAGGGGTGATTCGACAAGCTTGGGACCGAAGATAGTACCAGAGGTGAGCCAAAAAGTAGAGGACGTTTGTTCGGGACCTACTTGTCTTAGAGTTACCTCTATGGTAGTATCATAGAGGTAACTCTAAGACCACTGGGTCCCGAAGAAAATCATTATTATTTTTGGCTCACTCAGTACCAGAACAACGGTCCCAAGCAGTCCCAAGCTATTTCACTCACCCCTGCATGTTCTGCATGAATCCACACACCCCTGATGTTATCTGTCAAACTTTCATAGCGAATCAAAACAAACATAGTGTAGTAATAGAATTTCAACTAGAATAGGGTACGTTAATCGTTTGCTTGGGACCAATAGGCTACTAAAGTGGTGAGCCAATTTAAAATCGTTTGTTTCGTACTGATTGTTGATACAACCTTTCCTAAGTAAATTCACTTAATTTCCACGTTCATCTTAGTGAAAATCGCACATATTCACCATTTTCCGAAAAATGCAGCTGCGCAGGAGGTAACCTCTCCCTGTGGGTGCAAACTTGTTATGCATAATTTGCCATGAAAACATCTCCGATCCATACCGAAATAATAAAATATAGTTTTCAAACACGTTTTCTTACACGATTCATGCAAAAGTTTCCACGGGAAATTTATAGTTTTTTTTTATGGACCGTTTTGCCCCAAAAAGCGTCTGTTTTACTTGGAAAATTTGGAAACTATCCTCCTTCTAGTAGTTCTCTCTTCGAAATGTAGGTGGCGAAAGCTTGGAAAAATTTCACTGCAAGACGCCAATAACTTTAAGAACTTTTGAAGACGCAATTTTTGCCGTACAGAACCTGTCAACATTCTACCGTTCATGCGTTATTGGCGTTGACGGCACCGTCGAAAAATTGTCTCTTCAAGAAAAGATTGACAGTTTATTATAGGATTTTTCGGTGGAGTGAAAGGATAGTACGAAGTCCGCCATGTTTCACGCACAGTCTAACGTTTGCTTTTGGATTTTATCATAGGAGTAAAGAGCTACAGAGTCGCCGTCAACGCCAATTGACGTTTTTGTTATACAAATATGCTCTTTTTAGATTTTAATATCTCAGGTAAGTGCATTATTCATACATATTATTCTAAACATCAAAAATATCAGTGCTAACATTTGAAAACGGTACAAAAGCCATTTGTAAACAAATGGTTTGTGGGCCCTTTACTCACTACTTGAAGTACACCCATGCGACACAACAGCAACATCGGGTAGGGGAAATTTTCCCCTTCCTGACGATGCTGTTGGTTTGCGTGGGCGTTCTTCGGGTAGCGAGTAAAGGGCCCACAAACCATTTGTTTACAAATGGCTTTTGCGCCGTTTTCAAATGTTATCACTGATATAGAGAAATATTATTATATTAAGTTCTTTAAAATCAATTGGACTTAGTTCAGTTCGAATTTATTCCTATCGACTTTGTTCACACGGAGAGACGAAACAACTCAAAAACGAGATAGAAGGAACTTTAAAATTAGTACTTCTCTATCACTCTCGTTATCACTACCAAGGTGACTACATATAGGTGTTCTAATGTGTCAAATTCATGATTCAGCCATGTTGGATTTTTGTATGGGACAGCGACCGAGTTTGTTTACAATTTGCTCTAAAACCACACTTTTCCCCCCGCGACCTCTTCGCCTATATAGTGACAAAGCTGTATCACCATTTGTATACCCACCATGATCACTACTGTTTTGAATACATTTATGTTCTCAATTATGTGTACTTTTAGCTTAATCTTGAAGTATAACCAAAACTCTTGCTTTTACGTAAATTGAACTTATAACTGTAGTTCTTATTTGATGGCTTTCTCTCTCGATTTTGAGTTGATTCATTTCCCGTGCTTTGGAAGTATTTTGGATACTTATACACAGCAAAAAAAGTTGTTGAATATTACATCGAAACTGCTGCAACCAGGTCAATCCACCGTTTGTGTAATATCACATTGTACGATGTATATCGATTTTGCGAACAAAATTACATCCATTGATGTAATATTGTATCTGCTTTTTGCTATTACATCATTATTTCATACGTCAGCTTGAATTACGTTGATCGATATTACATTTTTTTTTGCTGTGTATATTTTAATATATCAAGAAGTTCAAAAGACTTAATTTTGAGTTGTTTCGATTCTCCGTGCATCTGTCAACTTATTGTCACTCCCAACATAGTTTACCCATTTTTTTGTAGGTTCAGTTTTGATCGATCTGGGTGGATTCTACCCAAAATTTTGAAGATTTGAAATAGTGTCCAGAGTTTTTGGTGGGAAACCGTTCACGGAAAGACGAAATAACTCAAAATTAAGTCTTTTACACTCATCTTGACAGCTAAGTGCAACCAGACAAAATTGAGTTCTTTGCGAAATATCCAATTTTGAGTATTTTGCGAAGACTTCGTGTTGAGTGAAATGTAACTGTGTCATGAAGAGCGAGTATTGGGTGAAAAGTACTTAAAACCGAGTATTGATTTAGAAATTATCGTTAAAAAATTTGAACGTTAATTTTTTCTCTTCAATGTTAAAATTAAAAACCATTACAAATCAGTCATAGTAGTTCTATTTATTTTTTATAAACACTCATACAACTTGCATCAGTCAAGGCACCAGTCCACTGTTAGAATTTAGAATTGTGTTTTACCTTAGATATTTGCACAGCAAATTTCTATCAGCTTTCGACCAACTCTGAGCTCTCTTAGCATATGAGATGCTGCAAATCTTCAGCATTCCTTCGCTGCTCACGCTAGCAAATGTGTTGGGAATAAGTGACTCGAATACTAGACTTGCAACGTATGCCCAGCGGTACACGGGAAACTTCCATCATCAGATCCGGACACCATTGCATATCTCCTGGGATCCTGGGAATTCAAAATTTCAATATTTTTTAAATTTCCATATGAGAGATGTAAACTTACCACATTGTTTAGTCCGTTATTAAGTTATTCTAATTTTTCCGAACAACATTAACTATAAGATCTGTTGCTTCCGCCAGGCGATAAAAAAAAAACAAACCAAAATGCAAATGGCGCACGCGTGATTTTTCATCCAAATCCAAGTGCAATCGCAACACTTGATTTTGGATACGTTCATAGCGCGGAAAATGAAACAACTCAAAATCGAGATGAAAAGTCCGCAAAAATAAGAACTCTCTCAAGACTACTGTTTGAGTACAGTTAACGAAGAGTGAGAGTTATTGTTGTACTTCAAGATTAAGTTTAAAGTACTCATCAATGAAAACAAAATTGTATCCAAAACAGTAGTGCTAGAGAAGTACTTATTTTTAAGTACTTTTCATCTCGATTTTGAGTAATTTCGTCTTTCCGTGTTGAGAGAAAATGTTACACAGATGGATTCTGCACCACTGACTGTTGCATCAATCATCACAGCCCTGCCGGGGATGTGTGACAGCTTGTTTAGTAATCTGTCAAAACCGTCAAAATCCACCCTTTGTTGTTGTGACTTTCACACGCTTCGGTAACTCATCCAGCCGTCAGAAGTTTTATTCCCCGAGCCGAGTCGAGTGCGGTCATTTTCGATTGCAGTTGTGAAATACTAATAGCAGAGCTGCTGCCAATCTATTTCTACCGAACGCATCACGCGACAATCTCGTAAGCATAGTCATTAAATCACAAGACATCTTGATACCAACCGATACTGATAACAAATTCTGTTCAAGGTCACATACGACTTAAGAAGAGCAAACTGCGAAGCACCACCGATAAACAAAAGCATGGGCAATTCCGTGAGTGCCAGTCCGGTAGCTGCGCTACCCGCAGCAACTTCCACCGCCGCGACGACGACACCAGCCGAAGTTAAGCCGGAGAAACCTAAGTGCAAGGCGTGCTGTGCTTGTCCGGAGACGAAGAAGGTTCGCGATGCTTGGTGAGTGTAACAGAATAGAATCCCATTGAAGGTTGCATTGTTATATAATTCTACTTTTTTCCCTACTTTCATGTTTCGGTTCTTGCGCTGACGAGCAGCATAATGGAACGGGGAGAGGAGTACTGCGGAGAACTGATCGAGAAGCATAAACAATGCATGCGGGATATGGGATTCAACATCTAGACGAGCCTGACGACTGATTTCCTGCTATGGAGGATGTTTTTTTATCTACCAAATTCCCGTTGTTTCAGCTGAGTCATGATCCATTGACTTTCATTTCATTCTCGCCCCCATCCCAAATCCCGCCACTCACAATTGTATTGGATTGTGCTTTAGTTACGTCGCTGTGTACATAGGAAATAGGAAGGCTGTCTAATCGGTTTAATTTATTGAAATTACTTCTGATCGATTAGTTCAGAGTGTTGTACTTAAAATCTGGGTCATAATAAAAGATGATTTAAGTACAAGAAAAAGGATGTTCTTTCAATCAAACATAATTATCGCGTTCCTTTGAAACATATTATATTAGAGTATATGATTATACATAGTTTGACAGCGAATTAATCTAAAAAGAACCTTAAACCCTACTTACTTGATATACTTGTCCATGAACTTCTTGTGGAACTCGGACCGCAGCGAATCGTTGATGAACTGGTTTGTCTTTTTCTCCGGTTCCGATCGGGCGCAGTTCTTGAACACCACATCGTCGTCCCAGCGTCGCTTCACCTTCAGCTCCGCCTTCGCCGTCGATGCGTAGTTCAGCAATGGATTTCCCGAGAGGATGTTCTCCATCCGGATTCGCTCATCTTCCTGACGTTTTTCCTGTTCCTTCTTAGCCGTATCCTGTGCCCGTTCCCGCTTGATTTTGTTCAGCTCGGCCAACAGGGCAGCCGTGTCGTCTTCATCCGAGTCGGAATCGGAATTCTCACTATCTACTGGATCATCGGCATCGAGATTCTGTGGCGCAGCGTCAACCTTCTGGCGTTTACTGCTGCTTCCTCCGGTGCTGCTGTTGGCTTCGATCGCCCGCCGTACCACCGACGACGGAGCAGCCGAGGTTGCTGCCTTGCTGCCGCCGGATTTGGTCTCGCGTTCACGCTTCTCCAGTTCCTCACGGAAATCACGGCTTCGTAGCTCTTCGGTCGTTCCCTGGCCAGGATCTCTGTGAACAAAACAAATACAATCAATTTGTGCTAACAAAGGAAGCTTAAGCGGGTGACCAATTCCATACCTGTACTTGAGTTTGGTGTGCGACGGAAGATCACGACTGCTGTACTGCTTGGACAGGGCGCTGAGATCCTTTTCGCCACGGCCACTGCCACCCCGTGCCGGATCAAACGTTGGCCGAGCTGCGGTGGTCATTTTGGGGCAGTTTCTATATTGTTTTTACCTGTTTTTCCACGATATTTTAGGTTGAGACTGGAAAGTGATGTTTTGCGTGCAAAATGTTTTCGTTTTTTGACAGTTCACATGGCTCCTCGGAAACGACCGAGAGCTGTTGGTGGCGAACCGGTTATAAAAATCGAACCAATTGCACACTGAAAAGAAATTAAAAAAAAAAACTACCCAAATTCAAATTCTTTTGAGGTTCGTTTTGAGGTTCTCGAACATCCGTGACTGCAAGTAGGCAATTTTGGGTAAACACCTGGCAACAAGGCTTTCTAGGACTGGGAAAATTCACTTTATCTGACTTTCTCGTGGTTCCCTGAGTAAAAGTCTTGAACAAACTTATACCCTAACACGTCCTAATTTTTTGGTACCGCCCTCTTTATGAATTTTGGAATGTTGTCCCGATGCCAGTTGTATACTGCCTAACTAAAGCATGTTACGACATTGCCGTCCAAGAGTGTTTTTTTTTCAGAAAATTACTTGAGGAACATTTTTTAGGAACATTTAAAAACGATATCTCGTTGTCTTACCCCTCGTTAGGGTGACTTTTCAAATTGGGTAACCCCTAAAAATCTACACTCAGAAAATATTCAAATCTATATAGTATAAAAGCTACGCTAAATCGCAACTCTCCCGACCGACGCATAGGTCGGTATAAAACGAAAGAATACGAACTTAGTATAAAAATGGTTTATGCATTGTAATGTTGAAAGTCGTGATAATGATAAGATGTATACAAGCTGTTTATTGGTGTGGATGCGTTTTTTTTTTTATTTCGATCAAGTAAAAAGCTGATTTTGAAAACAAAAAATAAACATAGTGTTCTCAAATACTGGAGATATATGGCCCACCAGATAACGTACATCTGATTGATTCTCGTAATCCACCTGTTTCATTGTTGTCATCCATCCAATGAAGCTCAGCTACTGGCTCGTAAAAGTTTCAGTTGCATGTCGGAAATCTTGTCTAATCCTTATAAATTAAATGCTAAAAGTTGTTCGTTATTTCCCATCGGAAGGCGTTCAGTTTTAGCTCCTCGAACACAATTCGGTGGAACTGATTATCATAGATGTGCAGTTTTATCCTTGCAGAAAATATTGATTTCTCCTTTGAAGCTAGCTCCTCGATCTTTTTCAACCCGACTTACAGCTCCTTAAGAATATTTAACTATTACTATCGGGTCCTCATCGTTTCTTGACTGAGACTAGAAGTGCAGTCTATAGTTGGTAATGTTCAGCGTTTCAATGACCGATCCACTAGACGAACAAATGTACGAGGAACGAAAATGGAAATAACTGTAACGGCTATGCGTGCTATTGCGATAGATATTACGCCTGCTTATCAATTTTTAGATGTTATTTGAAATATACTGAATGAATTCAACGCCGTTATTCGAACATAGTATATTTTTTAAATCATTTTTTAATCTGAACAATATTGAGATGAGCAAAATGGAGAATCGAACAGTCATGAGGAATTCCCTCTCAGACTTCAAACAACTTACAAACACAACGCCGAATCCTTGACCGAGGAAAGCAAAGGGAACAGTACTCTCGTGAAAACTCACGCCGAGCACACTCACCATAACCTAGTGATATACAAACTATTGAACGAAATAGATTCAATACTTTTCACCAATATTTATTGATCAGCTTTTCCAATACAGAATGATTTTACAATGTTTCTTCTCTTCGTCCTAACTGCCAAGCAACTGGTTAAACTAGTGATTGATATCTCTTCAAATCCTACCATCAAGCAAAAGCTCTCTTGTCACGCTGCTTGTTGCCAAGCTCGCTGTTCTTGAGCGAAAGCTCACCTTTCTCTCTCTCTCAAACGTATGCACTGTCAAAAATAACACAGAGGAAATTGCCTGATTTATACCATCTCAACACTTCCCCTCAATTTCCATTCCTAACAGACTAATCATTTTCAAAAACTTTGATCTTGTTAGGGGTTTTGTAAAAACATCAGCTACCTGATGCTCAGAAGGCACATATTTCAATGTTATCTTCTTATTTTGGAACATGTACTTCACGTCAATATGTTTAGTGCGTTGGTGATCGCGGGGCTCTTCCGCAATTTTAATGCATGGAATATTGTCCCCGAATATTGTGAATGGAACTGCTAGAGTACCAACCTCTCACAACATGTTTGACAACCTGTGGAAGTCCTCCGGCACCCAGCAGAAATCGTCCAGCACGACGAGATCTCTCCACTATTACACTTACCTGCTTGACTGCTTGAATACCACTGATGCCGACTCACAGCGATGCCGAGAGTCGATGTCAAATCATTGCCGTTCACGCGGTTTGGTTGGTAGTATTCCTAGGGGTGTGCAAAACCCTTTCACACTGTGGGTAGGGTTGTGCGCATGTACTCACATCTCACTTCCTCTCCGAAAAAAAAATGAAGAAAAAAATGATTTCATCTTACGGGTGAAACGGCATAACTTAATTGTACTTAAGTTCAAATTCTAACTTGCGGTAAGCCAAAAAACTTAAATCGTTAACAGTATTGGAAATTATGTTCAGATTTCCTATTTATGGACACATCATTGCTTATCAATTCTGTTAAGCCTTTTTTAATTATTTAACCCCGGTTCGGATCTTCAATTTATTTTAAAACTGTTTTTGTATTCATTTAATTTGTATTCAGTTAGCAAATGATTCCATTTAGTATAGTTACAAAATATCTTCGACTTCTTGAACATAGTTGTGCAAATATTCAGGAATCCTTTTTTCTCTAACAGGGCGTGATTTAGGCTGTGCAGCGGGTTGTTCCATACTTAACTCGGTGTAGTTGTCTTCTGTAGCCTCGCGCCAATCAAAAACCTTTTTGGTTTGCGAAACGTGGCGCTTCAAAAGTTGTCCTTCATCGTCCGTAAGTACTAGGCTGCCATTATTTTGTTCCAGTACCGTAAATCGCTTCGGATCGAACCTGGTATCCCCTTTTACGCGGGTGTGCCGTTCAACAATTACTGTGTCTCCCGGTTTTATTTGGCACTTCCTTGCACCTCTGCGACTGTCCTCGCGTTCTTTAGCTTTAGCTTGGCTTCTCGATCTCGTTCGTTGATAATTTCTTGGTCGTGTTCAACTTTCCCAGAGCTCAATAGAGGTAAGTCCCGCCTGACCTTCCGACCCATCATCACTTCTTCTGGAGGAACACCAGTGATTGAATGAGCTGCAGCATTATGAGCTTGAATTGCAGCTCGTAGCTCCTCCATATAACTGGTACCTGAAGAAAACGCCGCAGCCATTGCTTTATTGACTGTCTTCATGTAGTTCTCCACTAACCCATTTTGCTGAGGGAACAGAGGTGTTGAGAACACGAATTTGATTCCCCTTTCTTCACAGTACTTTTTATACTCCTCTCCGTTGAACGGTGGACCATTATCTGTTTTGATATTCTTTGGAAACCCTTCTCTATCGAAGAGCTCCTCCATCACTTTACGAGTAAATTCAAAACTTGTAGACTTCACTATGCGGGCTATCAAAAATCTGGAGCGATAATCTACAACGAGAAGGACGTACAGTATGCAAAAAAAGTTTATCCACCCCCCTACCAATTTACATTTATTTTTGTTTTTCTGGTGAAAATCAGTTTAATTTTATGAGTGTTCTTCCATGATTTATCAATTTATGCTTCTTTATCACATTGCCATTGAAAATATGGCGTTTATATCTTTTCTTGAGATTTCATGTGATAAATTATGTAAAATTGTAAAAAATTACGCAAAAAAAGTTTATCCACCCCCAAACGGATACTATGATTTAAGTGTGTTTTACAGAGTTTTAGTGTGTATTCTGCAACTTTCTCGAATGTAAACATTGTGTCTATCTGTCATTTAGTGCTCTTGAAGTTTTCGTGCTCAAAATTTCAATTTTGTGTTCAAAATTGGAAGTTATTTGTTTCAAAATGCCCAAAAAAGACCAAATTTCGATCAGTATCCGAAATTTAACTATTGAACATCACAAAACTGGCAAAAGCTACCGTGATATTGCCGATATTGTCCAGCTTCACAAATATACGGTCACTAGAATTGTGCAGATGTACAAAAAGCGTGGATCTATCTCACCAGCTAGGCGATCGGGGCGTCCTTCAAAGACAACTAACCGAATTGACAGAGCTATCGTGAAGAAGGCGGAGCTGGACCGGGGACTATCAGCTCCGAAAATTGCGAAACAGATTGAAAGCGAGTTTTCCATTCAACTGACATCACAATCCGTACGAAATTGTCTTCATAAGAAAACCTTTAAGGGTAAAGTAGCTCTTAAGAAGCAATGGTTGTCAGCAAAATAATTAAAAAAAAAAGATTGAAGTGGACCACATTTCATGGACCAGTGATGACTGGACTAAGGTGATCTGGTCAGACGAGACGAAAATAATGCTGTTTGGGTCACCATTGATACCATCAGACCATACCATCAGATACCATAAAATTTTGGTCCATGAAATGTGGTCCTGGGCCCACTTCAATCTTTTTATGAAATATATTGCGGACAACCATGGCTTCTTAAGAGCTACTCTGCCCTTAAAACTTTTCTTATGAAGACGATTTCGTACGGATTGTGATGTCAGTTGAATTGAAAACTCGCTTTCAATCTGTTTCGCAATTTTCGGAGCTGATAGACCCCGGTCCAGCTCCGCCTTCTTCACGATAGCTCTGTCAATTCGGTTAGTTGTCTTTGAAGGACGCCCCGATCGCTTAGCTGGTGAGATAGATCCACGCTTTTTGTACATCTGCACAATTCTAGTGACCGTATATTTGTGAAGCTGGACAATATCGGCAATATCACGGTAGCTTTTGCCAGTTTTGTGATGTTCAATAGTCAAATTTCGGATACTGATCGAAATTTGGTCTTTTTTGAGCATTTTGAAACAAATAACTTCCAATTTTGAACACAAAATTGAAATTTTGAGCACGAAAACTTCAAGAGCACTAAATGACAGATAGACACAATGTTTACATTCGAGAAAGTTGCAGAATACACACTAAAACTCTGTAAAACACACTTAAGTCATAGTATCCGTTTGGGGGTGGA